TCCCCCCTCACCCTTGGCAACCACAAGTCTTTTATGTCTGTGATTCTCTTTCTCTATCGTAGATAGGTTCATTTCTGTTATATTTTAGATTCCACATATAAATGATATCATATGGTATTTGTCTTTCTCTTTCTGACTTAGTATGATAATCTCCAGGTCCATCCATGCTGCTGCAAATAACTTTGTTTCATTCTTTTTTATGGCTGGGTAACATTCCACTGTGTATATATATATATATATACACCACATCTTCCTTATCCATTCATCTGTTGAAGGACATTTAGGTTGTTTCCATGTCTTTGCTAATGTAAATAGTGCTGCTATGAACATACAGGTGCATGTATTTTTTGGATTATAGTTTTGTCTGGGTATATGCCCAGGAGTGGGATTGCTGAATCATACATCGACCCTATTTTTAGTTCTTTGAGGAACCTCCATACTGTTTTCCACAGTGGTTGCACCAACTTACATTCCCACCAACAGTGGAGAAGGGTTCCTTTCTCTCCACACCCCCTCCAGCATTTGGTATTTGTGGGCTTTTTAATGAAGGCTATCTGACTGTATGAGGTGTTGCCTCATTGTAGTTTTGATTTGCATTTCTCTAATAATTAGCAACATTGAGCATCTTATCATGTGCCTATTGGCCATCTGGATGTCTTCTTTACAAAAATGTCTTTTTAGGTCTTCTGCCCATTTTTAGATTGGATCTTTGTTTTTTTGTTGTTGAGTTGTATGAGCTGTTTGTATATTTTGTAGATTAAGCCCTTGTTGACTGCATCATTTGCAAATATTTCCTCCCAGTCTGCTGATTGTCTTTTCATTTTGTTTATGGTATCTTTTGCTGTGCAAAAGCTTGTAAGTTTGATTAGGTCCCATTTGTTTATTTTTGTTTTTATTTCTATTGCCTTGGGAGACTGACCTAAGAAAACACTGGTACAAGTTATGTCAGTGAACGTTTTGCCTATGATCCCTTCTAGGAGTTTTATGGTGTCATATCCTATGTTTAAGTCTTTAAGCCACTTTGAGTTTATTTTTCTGTATGGTGTGAAGGCATGTTCTACCTTAATTAACTTACAGCAGCTGTCCAACTTTCCCAACAACACTTGCTGAAGACACTTTTCCCCATTGTATATTCTTGCCTCCTTTGTCAAACATTAATTGACCATAGGGGTGTGGGTTTATTTCTGGGATCTCTATTCTGTTCCATTGATTTGTCTGTTTTTGTGCCAATACCACACTGTTTTGATTACTGTAGCTTTGTAGTAGTGTCTGAAATCTGAGAGGGTTATGCCTCCTGTTCAGTCTTTTCCTTCAGGATTGCTTTGGCAATTCTGGGTCTTTTATGGTTCCATAAAAATTTTAGGATTATTCTAGGTCTGTGAAAAATGTCTTGGGTAATTTGATAGGGATCATGTTAAATCTGTAGATTGCTTTGGGTAATATGACCATTTTAACAATATAAATTCTTTCAATCCAAGAGCATGTGATATCTTTCCATTTTCTGAATCATCTTTAATTTCCTTTATTTAATATTTTATTGTCCTCAGCATATAAATCTTTCACCTCCTTGATGAGGTTTATTCCCAAAGTATTTTATTTTTTTGATGCTACTTTAAAATGGATTATTTACATTTCCTTTCTGATATTTCATTGTTAGTGTAAAGAAATGCAACTGATTTTTTGTTGTTGTTTTTTTTTTTTTTTTTTTGCGGTACGCGGGCCCCTCACTGTTGCGGTCTCTCCCGTTGCGGAGCACAGGCTCCAGACGCGCAGGCTCAGTGGCCATGGCTCACAGGCCCAGCCGCTCCGTGGCATGTGGGATTTTCCCGGACCGGGGCACGAACCCGTGTCCCCTGCATCGGCAGGCGGACTCTAAACCACTGCGCCAGCAGGGAAGCCCTGCAACTGATTTTTGTATGTTAATCTTGTATCCTGCTACCTTGCTGAATTTGTTTATGAGTTCTAGTAGTTTTTGTGTGGAGTCTTTAGGATTTTCTATATATGTATTATCATCTCATCTGCATATAATGACAATTTTACCTCTTACTTTCCACGTTGGATACCTTTTTGTGTGTGTGTGTCTGATTGCTGTGAATAGGACTTCCATACTATGTTGAAGAGAAGTCGTGAAAGTGGGCATCCTTGTCTTGTTCCAGATTTTAGTGGGAAGGCTTTTAGCTTTTCACTGTTATTATATTTTGGCTGTGGGTTTGACATAAATCACTTTTATTAAGTTGAGATATGTTTTCTCTGTACCCACTTTGGTAAGAGTTTTTATCATTAATGGATGTCAGTTCTGTCAGATGCTTTTTCTGAATCTATTGAGATGATCATGTCGTTGTCCTTTTTTTGTTGATGTGGTGTATGACACTGATTGATCTGCATATGCTGAACCATCCTTGTGAACTTAGGATGAATCCCACTTGGTCATGGTGTATGATCTTTATAATGTGTTGTTGGATTCGGTTTGCTAATAGTTTGTTGAGAATTTTTATATTCAAAGGTATTGGCCTGTAATTTTATTTTTTAGTGATATCTCTGTCTGGTTTTGGTATCAGGGTGTTGTTGGCTTCATAGAATATGTTTGGGAGTGTTCCCTTCTCGTCCATCTTTTGGAAGGATTAGTATAAGTTCTTTGTATGTTTGGTACAATTAGCCTTGAAGCCATCTGGTCTTAGATTTTTGTTTATAGGGATTTTATATAGTACAGATTGTGTTTCACTTCTAGTGATTGGTCTGTTCAAATTGTCTAGCCCTTCTTGGTTCCATTTTGCTGGCCTGTATGTTTTTAGAAACTTGTCCATTTCTTCTACATTGTCTAATTTGTTGGCACATAACTGAACACAGTATTCTTATGTTTTTTTTTTTTGTATTTCTGTGGTATCAGTTGTGTCTCCTTTCTCAATTCTTACTTTATTTGGGTTCTCTCTTTTCTTCTTGGTGAGCCTGGCCAGAGGTTTATCTATTTTGTTTAACCTTTTAAAGAACCAGCTCTTGGTTTTATTGATTTTTTCTATTGTTTTTAAATCTCTATTTTATTTCCTCTCTGATATTTATTATTTCCTTCCTTCTGCTGACTTGAGGTTTTGTTTGTTCTTCTATTTTCTAATTCTGTTAAGTGGTAAATTAGGTTGTTTGAGATTTTTCTTGTTTATTGTGGAAGGGCTGTATCACTATTTGAAGCTGAACTTCTTTTGCTGCATCCTGTAGATTTTGTATGCTTGCATTTTCATTTGTCTCAGGGTATTTTTTAATTTCCTCTTTGATTTCATCATTGCCCCATTGGTATTTCTAGTAGCATGTTGTTTAGTCTCCATGTAATCATTTTTTTTCTCATTACTTTTCCTGTAGTTGATTTTAGTTTCATGCTTTTGTGGTCAGAAAAGATGCTTGAGATTAATTTCTATACTCTTAAATTTGCTGAGGCTTGTTTTGTGCCCCAGTATATGGTCAATCCTAGAGGATATTCCATATGCACTTGAAAATAATATGTATTTATTGAATGTAATATTCTGAAAATATCAATTCAGTCTAACTGTTCTATTTTATCATTTAAGATCTCTGTTGCCTTATTGATTTTCTGTCTAGGAGATCTGTTCATTGATGTGAGTGTGGTGTTAAAGTCTCCTACTATTATTGTAGTCCTATCAGTTTCTCCCTTTACGTCTGTATTTGTTGTATGTATTTGGGTGCTCCTATATTAGGTGCATGTAGGTTGACAAGTGTAAAATCATCTTCTTGTATTTGTATTTATCCTTTAATCATTACATAGCATCCTTCTTTCTTTCTTTATGGACTTTGTTTTAAAGTCTGTTTTGTCTGATATGAGTACTGCTTTATTTCCATTTACATGACATATAATTTTCCATACCCTCACTTTCAATCTATGTGTGTCCTTTGCCCTAAAGTGGGTCTCTTGTAGGCAGCATGTTGTAAGCTTTTTTTTCTGCCACTGTGTCTTTTGATTGGAGAATTTAGTTCATTGAAATTTAGGGTGATCATTGATAGGTATGTATTTATTGCCATTTTAAACCTTGTTTTCCCATTGATTCTGTGTTTCTTCATTTTTCTTTTTGTGGTTTGATGATTTCCTTTTATTTTATGCTTGTGTCTTTTTTTCAGTTTTTGTGAATCTATTGTATGTTTTTGATCTGCGGTTACCCTGTTTTTCAAGTATGTTAACCCCTTCTTACATCTACTTGCTTTAGACTGATAGTCATATGGGCTCAAACACATTCTAAAAACGAATCTACATTTTCTCACTCTCCTCCCTCACATTTTATGATTCTGATGTCCTCTTTTACATCTTCAGGTTCATCCTTTTGCTGTTCATCGTGGTTATCATTGTTTTCACCTGTGTACTTGGCTTATTTAAGTACTTGGCTTATTTAAGTGATTTACTTTCCAATAGTGATTTTTTTCTTTCTTATAAATTCTTGCTTCTTTTGTATTCAGAGGAGACCTTTCAATATTTCATTTAGGATAGGTTTAGTATTGATGTATTATTTTAGTTTTTACTTGTCTGAGAAATTCTCTCCTATTATAAGTGATAATCTTGTTAGGTAAAGCATTCTAGGTTGCAGATTTTTCCGTTTCAAGATTTTGATTTTGAATATATCTTGCCACTCTCTTACTTCTGTAGAGAAATCAACTGATAGCCTTAAGGGGGTTCCCTGGTAATTAACTCTTTGTTTTTCTCTTGTTGCCTTTAGAATCCTCTCTTTAACTTTTGCCATTATAATACATCTTAGTGTGACTCTGTTTGGGTTCACCTTTTTGGGGATCTTCTGTTCTTCCTGTAGCTGGATATCTGTTTCCTTCTTTAGTTTTGGGACATTTTCAGCCACAATTTCTTCAAATACATTTTCAATCCCCTTCCTTCTTCTCCTTATGGAATCCCTATTATGCACAGATTGGCACACTATATATTATCCCATAGGTCTCTTATATTGTTCTCATTTTTTTCATTTGGGTTTTTGTCTACTCTTCTGATTGATTGAGTGATTTCCATTATTCTATCTCCAGATCACTTATTCAGTCTTCTGCATTATTCATTCTGCTATTCTTCATTGCCTTTAGTTCAGCTTTTGTGCTGCAGATGAGGTTTTTAAATTTTTTTGGCTCCTCTTTATAGTTCCTTTTTGAACTTGGTGTCTATTAGACTGGAGAGGTGTGTGTGTTTCATTGTCCATTCTTTCAGGGGAATTCTTGGTTTTTTAACTGGGAGTGGTTCCTCTGCTTCCTCATTTTACTTATATTTCTCTTACTCTGTAAGTTTAGGAGAGATGACTATCAACTGTGGTCTTGGAGAGCTATTTATATGTGGGAGTATCCTTGTGTAGCTTGTCTGGGTTTAATATTTTTGGTGTGAGGGCTGTTTTTAGTATGGGTGCCTGCTGCCACTTTCCTCAATGTGTGCTGTTCATTATCCCCTTGACAGGGGTTGGGCAGATGTGGTGGCTGGTGCCAAGAACCTGGGGTTCTTGGCGGTAGCAGCTTGTGACTGCTCCCAGAGCTCATGTAGGTGGTGTCGTGTCACCTGAAAGTGCACATGGCAAGAGAGGTTGCTATGGTGGGTGCCAACCCTCCCCTTGCATGCCCCCCAACAATGGCACCTCACCTTTAAGGTGGGCCCAGCCTTCCTCCACATAAAACCTCAGCTGCAGTCACCCCAGACTCCAGCCCCTTCAGGCTGTCTCTGTGTAGCCAACCCCAGTCCTCTCCCCTGGTCTGATCTCCAAACTCCGAGGTTTAGCACCCAGCCCTAGTATGCACTGACCAGTTGTGTAGGCCTCTCTCCATTCTGTCTGCTGCAAACCAGTTGCTGTGCTCTCTTCTGAGGCTTCGAAGCTCCCCCTCTGTCCCTGCTGATCTCCTTACTGGTGAGAGGACTTCCCACGGTGTGGTATACTTTCTTCTTTCGGAGCTCCCTCCTAGGGGCACAGGACCACCGTCCTTATTCCTTTCTTTCTTTTTACCAGGTTACATGGAGATTTTCTTGCTCTTTCAGAAGTCTGAGGTGTTCTGCCAGCACTCAGTAGATATTCTGTGAGATTCATTCCACATGAAGATGTATTTTTGATCTATCTGTGGGAGGAGGTGAGCCCCACGTCCTACTACTCCACCATTTTGATTGGTCCCCCTGAGGTAGATACTCTTATTTTCCCCTTTTTACAATAAGGAAACTGAGACCCAGATTACATAAATAACTTGCCCAAGACAAAACAAGGAGTAAGTAATCAGCTGAACTTCAAATCCAAGCAAACTAGTACAGAGACTGTGTTCTTAATTAATATGGTTTAATGCCTGTAATATATTAATAATTACAGAAAAGTTTTAGAAATAGAGAACTGATAATGTCAGTAAAGGGTTTCATGAGAGAGCATAGACACATATGTCAGATAGAGGCTTGACTTCTCACTCTGCCATTTACAATCATTGTAACAATGGGAAATTTGCTTCATGTGTATGAGCCGCCTTCTCTTGAACTATAAATTAAAAATAATCGTTTACTTTTCTCCAATTGTGAAAGATTTTTAAATGGAGCTAGTACATAAAGAATAGACAGGTGTAGTCTTATAGAGAGTAGAGGAGAGAACATTCTACAAGGAAAGAGTTTAATCAAATACCCAGAATTGTATACAAGCCAGAATCTTCAAAAGATTCTGAAGTATTTCTAACTTATTTCTAACTTAAAATATTTGTACTGGGGAATATGGGAGAATAGTAGTTGGTGTCAAAGTAGTCAAGTTACATGAGTCCTGAAATGATTTAGTGGAAGCTCTAATTGATGTGGCTGAAAGGGAAAGTACAAATGATATTTTGTAACATTTCTTTCAAATTGTAAGCATGCTTTATCTTTAATAATATGCTGTGCAGGATTTGACAGAAATTTACAAATATTAAAATAAGTGAGTTCCTAATTTCTATTTGTGGGCATAGGTCAGCTCAAATTATTTTTCAGGTTCAAAATACATTTGTACTATATTCTTCTAGGAAACATACTATTTCTGAAGTGCGTGTAAATGAGGAAAACTGAAAGATATTCCTGACAATGGGGATGAAATATTTTTAAAAATCTAATTGAAGTACACACAATAGTGAAAATCATAGCCTGCTGTGCTTTAAAGTCAATCAGTTTATGAACATTTTCTAAGCAAGAGAAAGTGATTTGTGTTACTCAGGATGTTGACGCATTGTAGTATACCAAAGTAAAAACTGAATTTTGGTGTCAAGATTTTCTAAAATCTAGGTATTTATTATATTTTGTCCCCAAGTTATTCTTTTAAGCCATCTTCTAATTGTTTTGTTTTAATTCATTTCAATGTTTCTCTATGGTTATGATTTCTAAACATTAGGTTTATGCAATCATGCACAAAGCATAAATATATTAAAAGTAGCTGATATTTGATTTCTAGAGTAACATTCTATTTATTTGGTTTAGTACATCTTGTTTTCTTGCAAACACAGTGCAAATACTTTGATTCAACATGGATTCAAATTTGTCCCCACACTTCCTGTTTATATTTGTGTCCATATGTTGTTTTTTTCTTTAGCATTTAAAGACTTTTGATGTTTACTACCTCTGTAATGTTAAAAACATTTTTCAGGACTAATGTTAACTTGTTCTAAACAGAGAAATTTTGAATTTTCTCTTAAAACATGAATTTAATTGTACCACCCAATACAAATTAGAGGTCTCATGTAAATTTGCATTGTATTTAAAGACGAATCGCATTATCCTTATTAAAACTTCATATACTTGAAAAATGCTGATTTTTTCTTAAAAAATTCTAGGATAATTCAGCTATCATATATTTTTAGGTACTGTCATAGAAAATTGATGTACTGAGCAATCTGTCTTTGCATCACATAAGTAACTTTTACATAAGGCCATTTTCAAGTTTAGTTGCAGTTCAACAGAAAACAAAAACACTGAGTACTGGCCCCCCCCCCCCACACACACACACAAGGTGGATTGAGGTGGGGCTGAGAGCAGTATGAACAACAGTGTACTTTTGAGCCCACACAACAGGTGAAAGGTGACACAACAGAGCACACCCACAGGTGTACTGCTCCAGTAGAGGCATACTCAGTGGTTCCTCTCCCAGTATGAGTGCTCCAAATCCTGGTGACCTCGCACTGCAGATCATAAAAACATCTCAGAAAGGGAGCTGGAGGCTCTACTCCAACAACTAGGGAGCAGACCCTGCCTTAGCAGGACAGTGATAACCATAGAGCAAAGAGGAGGCCCCACTCAATATCTAGTGCAGGCTCATGTCACCACAATATCAGTCACACCTCTTATCAAGGGGATAATGGCCAACGTACACAGAGAAAAGAGTTGGTAGAGAAAACGTAATTTTTTTTTCTAGAATATGTTTGAGGCTATATGACTACCAGTCCAAAACAAGTAGATATAGGAAGGGGTTAACATACTTGAAAAATAGGCCAACCACAAAAGGAAAAACAAAAAGGAAAACATAAGGACAAAGAAGAAATATAAAATCAATGGGAAAACAAGGAGTAAAATGTCAATGAATACATGTCTATCAGTAATTACCTTAAATGTCAATGGACTAAATGCTCCAATCAAAAGACAAAGAGTGGCAGATTGGATTAAAGCAAAAAACAAGAGCCTACACTATGCTGCCTACAAGAGACCCCCTTTAGGGCAAAAGACACACATAGATTAAAAGTGAGGAGATGGAGAAAGATACTTCATGCAAATGGAAATGACAAGAAAGCAGGGGTCGCAAGACTCGTATCAGAAAGTAGACCTTAAAACAAATGCTATAAAGAAAGATAAAGAAGGACACTATATAATGATAAAAAAATCAATACAAGGAGAGAATATTACACTCATCAACATATATGCACCCAAATACAAATGACAAATACTAACAGACACAAAGGGAGAAACTGACAGGAATACAATAATAGTAGGAAACTTTATCACCCCACTCATCACTGCATAGATCTTCTAGATAGAAAATCAATAAGGCAACAGAGATCCTAACTAATACAATAGAATAATCTCCAGGACATTAAATCCAAAAGAAACAGAATATACATTCTTTTCAAGTGCACATGGAACATCCTCTACATACTTGGGCACAAAACAAATCTCAACAAATTTAAGAGTATAGAAATTATTTTAAGCATCTTTTCTGACCACAAAAGCATGAAACTAGAAATCAACCACAGAAAAAGAAACCAGAAAAAAAGAAACAAAAAACAAACAAGAAAACAATGACATGGTGACTAAACAACATGCTACTAAAAACACAATGGGTCAGTGATGAAATCAAAGAAGAAATTTTAAAATACTTTGAGGCAAATGACAATGAAAATACAACCATACAAAATCTATGGGATGCAGCAAAAGCAATTTTTAGAGGGAAGGTCATAGTGATACAGGCCTTCCTTAAGAAACAAGAAAAATCTCAAGTAAAACATTAACCCACCACCTAAAAGAATTAGAAAAAGAAGAACAAACAAAACCTCAAGTCAGGAGAAGAAAGGATATAATAAAGATCAGAGAGGAAATAAATAAAATAGAAATTTGAAAAAATTAATAAAACCAAGAGCTTGTTCTCTAAAAGAGTAAATAAAGTTGAACAAACCTCTGGCCAGGTTCACCAAGAAGAAAAGAGAGAAGACCCAAATAAACAAGATAAGAAATGAAAGAGGAGAAATCAGAACAGATACCACAGAAATACAAAAAAAAAAAAAAAGACAGTATTATGAACAATTATATGCAACAAGTTTGACAATCTTTAAGAAATGGACTTCTTAGAAATATACAGCACAACAAAACTGAATAAAGAAGAAATAGATAACTTGAACAGACCAATCACTAGAAATTACATAGAATGTGTAATTAGAGGGAAAATAAAACAAAAGCCAACCCCTTACAAACAAAATTCCAGGACCAGATGTCTCTTCACTGGAGAAGTTTACCAAACATACAAAGAAGAACTTACACCAATCCTTATACACAGATGAGATGTCATTATATGCAGATGAGATGTCATTATACGCAGATAATATATATATATATATATATAGAAAACTCTAAGACTCCACACAAAAACTACCAGAACTCATAAACAAATTCAACAAGGTAGCAGGATACAAGATTAACATACGAAAATCAGTTGCGTTACTTTACACTAACAATGAAATATCAGAAAGGGAATGTAAACAATCCGTTTTAAAGTAGCACCAGAAAAATAAAATACTTGACAATATACCTCACCAAGGAGGTGAAAGATTTATATGCTGAGGACAATAAAATATTAAATAAAGGAAATTAAAGATGATTCAGAAAATGGAAAGATATCACATGCTCTTGGATTGAAAGAATTTATATTGTTAAAATGTACTACCCAAAGCAATCTACAGATTTAACATGAACCCTATCAAATTAGCCATGACATTTTTCACAGACCTAGAATAATCCTAAAATTTTTATGGAACCGTAAAAGACCCAGAATTGCCAAAGCAATCCTGAAGGAAAAGAACAAACAGGAGGCATAACCCTCTCATATTTCAGACACTACTACAAAGCTACAGTAATCAAAACAGTGTAGTATTGGCACAAAAACAGACAAATCAATGGAACAGAATAGAGATCCCAGAAATAAACCCACACCCCTATGGTCAATTAATGTTTGACAAAGGAGGCAAGAATATACAATGGGGAAAAGTGTCTTCAGCAAGTGTTGTTGGGAAAGTTGGACAGCTGCTGTAAGTCAATGAAGGTAGAACACACCCTCACACCATACAGAAAAATAAACTCAAAGTGGCTTAAAGACTTAAACATAGGATATGACACCATAAAACTCCTCGAAGAGATCATAGGTAAAACGTTCACTGACATAACTCGTACCAGTGTTTTCTTAGGTCAGTCTCCTAAGGCAATAGAAATAAAAACAAAAATAAACAAATGGGACCTAATCAAACTTACAAGCTTTTGCACAGCAAAAGATACCATAAACAAAATGAAAAGACAATCAGCAGACTGGGAGGAAATATTTGCAAATGATGCAGCCGAGGGCTCAATCTACAAAATATACGAACAGCTCATACAACTCAACAACAAAAAAAGATCCAATCTAAAAATGGGCAGAAGACCTAAATAGGTATTTCTCCAAAGAAGACATCCAGATGGCCAATAGGCACATGATAAGATGCTCAATGTTGCTAATTATTAGAGAAATGCAAATCAAAACTACAATGAGGTAACACCTCATACAGTCAGAATGGCCTTAATTAAAAAGCCCACAGGGCTTCCCTGGTGGTGCAGTGGTTGAGAGTCCGCCTGCCAATGCAGGGGACACAGGTTCGTGCCCCGGTCCGGGAAGATCCCACATGCCATGGAGCAGCTAGGCCCGTGAGCCATGACCACTGAGCCTGCGCATCCGGAGCCTGTGCTCCGCAACAGGAGAGGCCACAACAGTGAGAGGCCCGCGTACCGGAAAAAAAAAAAAAAAAACAGCCCACAAATACCAAATGCTGGAGGGGGTGTGGAGAATAAGGAACCCTTCTACACTGTTGGTGGGAATGTAAGTTGGTGCAGCCACTATGGAAAACAGTATGGAGGTTCCTCAAAGAACTAAAAATAGTGTCGACATATGATTCAGCAATCCCACTCCTGGGCATATACCCAGACAAAATTATAATTCAGAAAATACATGCACCCTTATGTTCATAGCAGCACTATTTACATTAGCAAAGACATGGAAACAACCTAAATGTCCTTCAACCGATGAATGGATAAAGAAGATGTGGTGTGTATATATACATATATATATATATATATGTATATATATGTATATATGTATATATACACACATACATACAGTGGAATATTACCCAGCCATAAAAAGAAATAATGTTATTTGCAGCAACATGCATGGATGGACCTAGAGATTGTCATACTAAGTGAAGTAAGTCAGAAAGAGAAAGACATATACCATATGATATCACTTATATGTGGAATCTAAAATATGACATAAATCAACATATCTACGCAACCAAAACAGACTCACTGATATAGATAAATGACTTGTGGTTGCTGGGGGTCGGGGTGGGGGTGCTTGGTAGAGGCGGGAAGCACTGGGAGTTTGGCATTAGCAGAGGCAAAGTATTATATATAAGATGAATAAATAACAAGATCCTATTGTATAGCACAGGGAACTATATTCAATATCCTGTGACAAATCATCAGGGAAAAGAATATGGAAAAGAATGTGTGTGTGTGTGTGTGTGTGTATGTCAGTTTGTTGTACAGAAGAAATTAACACAATGTTGCAAATCAACTATAATTCAAAAAATATTTTTAAAAAATTCATATACTTGAAAAATGGTTAGTTTTTTTCTTAAAAATTCTTGGATAATTAGCTATCCTGCATTTTTAGGTATTGTCATAGAAAATCGATGTAGCAAGAAATCTGTCTTGGCTTTGCATCATTAAGTGACTTTTACATAAGGCCATTTTCAAGTTTAGTTGCAGTTCAACAGAAAACAAAAACACTGAGCGCTGGCACCCCCCACCCACCACCACACACATACACACACACTCAAGGCAAGAAAAAGAGCGAGCGATCACTGGTTCTAAAGGAAAATGGCCAAAGAGAGTTTTCCAAATCTAAGTTATACATAATCTAATTGAATGCAACTGGCTTAACAGAAATAGGGTTTATATTCTAATGCCCACAAATACTCTTTTTCTAGCTACAGAGAGTTCATATTGGAAACTGTAATAAATAACAGTGAGCTTTCTATTTCCAGGATTGTGGCTGACTGGAATTTCAGAACATTACTCAGTAAAAATGCTGATAACAAAAATGAAACAAAACTTTTTTTAATGTGGTGACATGAGGGAATAGATAAAATCACCCTAAGGCCAGATAAAATAAGAAAACACTGAGTCTACTAACATAACCAACTTTGAAGCCCACATTTATTTTGGAGTAACTGCCAATGGTGTGGATTATGTGTTTTAAGATTTTAAGACTTTTGAGCATGGAGTTCAAGATGGCAGAGTAGGAGGCCATTGAGCTCACATTCCCCTCCAAACACCAAAAATTACATCTACATGTAAAACAATTCTCATAGAAAACAAGCCAGAAACTGGCAGAAGATCTCTTATACAATCAAAGCTGCAAGAAAGATCCCCACATAACTGGGTAGGACAAAAAAAAAAAAAGGCATCAGGATGGGACTGGAACCCCTGGGAGTGGTAAGAAGGGAGTATCCACGTCAGCAGACCCTTCCTCTGTGAAACCCCCCTGTCTGCCAGAGGTTTGATGAAACAGAGAGTGTATAGGGAGAGGCCTGGACTCTGCTTGTGAGGAGTGTGTGAGTACTGGCTTGCTAGCAATCAGGGTAGAGAGAGACAAGCACTGACAGCTTCCACCTCACTGCACTTCCCAGACCAAAACACACACCAGGCAGAGCTGCTAGTATGCACAGCAGCTAGGCACTGAAACTCGGGCAGAGGAGCCCTGGGAGAGAGCTCAATCTAGCTTCACAATGGCATCCCAGAGGGCCTGGAGTATGGTCCAGGTTGCCATTGTTAGTGCACTCACTCAGGGCAGAGTGCAGGTCCACCACAGAAGACCCATTGTCAGTGTGCTCACTGCAAGGGCTTGGATCTGGGGTGGGACTCATGTCTGAACCCATAATCTTCCCACCCACAGTGGGGGCGTGTCCTGCAGTGGCAGACATTGTTGGCTCCCACACGAGGTGGTGGGCAGCATCACAGAATTGTACATCCTGGCAGCAGCACCTGGGGAGGAATAAGCAGTTGTTCCTTTCCCAGTGGTAGCATTCCTGTTCCATACACCTCACACCACAGCTTGAAGCTCAATCTGAGGTGGAAAGGCATCACAGCCACATTGATTCCTGCAGCCACAATACCTTGGCCCTCAGTGCCAGCCATGCACTAGATCTGGGATGAATACAACAGAGAAAGGAACACAACCATGAGGTGCTTCTGGGCAAAACCATGGTTGCCTGCGTGAGCAGCACATAGGTTCCCTGTGACAACACAGGCCTCACTTCGTTCAGAGCTCACCTCCTTGGAGAGAGAGCATACACTTAAGAGCAATGGAGCCTCATCAGACTTGACCCTCAAGGCTTCTACTCCAACAACTGGAGAGCATACCCTGCCCTTGATAAGGCTGCGACAGCCACAGAACAAAGAGGAGGCCTCACTTAATAGGCAGGGCAGTCTCTGAACACACAATACCCTCTATATCAAGTGGATAATGGCCAGCACACTAAGAGGAAAAATACGGCAGGCATTCATATCAAAAACAGACTTCACATCAAAAATATTGGGCTTGTCCTATATCTTGATTGTGGTGGTGGTTACACAACTGTACACAACTGAAATTTGTCAAATTTCATAGAATTGTACACAAAAAGGTAAATTTAACTGTATATTAAAAAATGTATCTTAATAAACTTCAGTAAAATGACAAAATATATATATTGGGCTCATACAGTCTACCCAGGGACCCTTCCATATAAAAACACCCATTTAAGATAACAGTAGATAACTGTTTCTCCTAAATTCATAGACACAGAGAAATTCAAGTAATATGCAAAAGCAGAGGAACTACACCCAATTAAAAGAACAAGAGGAATACCCTGAAAGAATAAACAAAGAAACAGGCCTCTCCAGTCTACCAGACCCCAAGTTCAAAAAGGAGGTAATAAAAATGCTAAAAAAAATTAAGAAAGAGTGTTGAAAGAAATGCAAATCACTCTAACAAGGAACTAGAAAATATAAAGAGGAATCAATCAAAATCAGACAACTGGGCTTCCCTGGTGGCGCAGTGGTTGAGAGTCCGCCTGCCGATGCAGGAGACACGGGTTTGTGCCCCGGTCCAGGAAGATCCCACATGCCGCAGAGCAGCTGGGCCTGTGAGCCATGGCCGCTGAGCCTGCACGTCTGGAGCCTGTGCTCCGCAATGGGAGAGGCCACAACAGTGAGAGGCCTGCGTACCGCAAAAAAAAGAAAAAAATCGGACAACTCTATTGCTGAGATACAAACCAATCTAAAAGCAATGAATACAATGCAGAAGAATGAATAAGTGATCTGGAAGATAAAACAATGGGTATCACATAATCAGCAACAGAGAGAAAGACAAATTTTAAAAAAATGAACACAACATATGAGATCTATTGGATAATATAAAACATACCAACCTATGAACAGGGGTTCCAGAAGGAGAAGAAAAATGGAAGGGGTTCATAAACGTATTTGGGAACCTCCCTGCTGGCACAGTGGTTAAGAATCCACCTGCCAATGCAGGGAACACGTGTTTGAGCCCTGATCCAGGAAGATCCCACATGCCGCGGAGCAACTAAGCCCATGCACCACAACTACTGAGCCTGCGCTCTAGAGCCCACGAGCCACAACTACGGAAGCCCACATGCCTAGAGCCCATGCTCCGCAACAAGAGAAGCCACCACAATGAGAAGTCCGTGCACCACAACAAAGAGTAGCCCACACTCACTGCAACTAGAGAAAGCCCGCACACAGCAACAAAGACCCAGTGCAGTCAAATAAATTAAATAAATATATTAATTAATTAAAAAAATGTTTTTGAATAAATTGTGGCTGAAAACTTCCCCAACCTAAAGAAGGAAACATATCCAGCTACAGGTAGCACAGAGGGTCCCAAAAAAGAAGAAACTAAACAGACCCACACCAAGACATATCATAATTAAAACAGCAAAAGTGAAAGAGATTATTCTAAAGGCAGTAAAAGAAAAAGAGTCAGTTACTAGGGAACCCACACAAGACTATCAACTGTTTTCTCTACAGAAATATTGCAGGGCAGAAGGGAGTGGTAAGA